GTTTAGTTAAAAAACTGTTGTATTACAATAATATTCCCTCCTAATTGACTTGAATAAATACTTGAATGGAAATATACAATATTTTTGTTGAAACTACCCGCGTTTCAGTGTAAAGTGTTGTAATAATAAATGGTAAACAATTTGCCTTGGGCATCCGGATTTTTGGACTTTTACTGTAGCCTACTGTACACTGTTTTGTTTACTGTAAGGACCGATGTTCACTTCAATAAATGAAATCGTAAGTTTGCTAGTATTTTTGTCCACTTAATATATTATTATTTATACACTATTATTTAAGGTTATGTGTAAAGGAAACGCATTAATGCTTAAAGGTACATTTATTCAACATATGCTAATAATAGTTAGAAAAATTACGTAACCATCACGGTATCGACGGTTTCTTTATCGACGGCCGTTTACAGAACGTAACCCCCGTCGATAAAGAGGGAGTACTGTATACTGTTCCTCACTTTTGTATTTTCACTTTGTATTTCTTTGTGGTTCTTTATTATTATTATTATTATTATTATTATTATTATTATTATTATTATTATTATTATTGTTATTGTTATTGTTATTATTATTATTATTATTATTATTATTATTATTATTATTATTATTATTATTATTATTATTATTATTATTATTATTATTATCCCTCAGGCCCCGATGTGGGTCAGTGACCTGTGCCTGGGTGGGCTAATTCCCGTAAAAAAAAGAAACCGTTACCTTTGCTCCCAATGGAGAGCTAACCAATCCAATTTCTGACATAGTATGAGATTACAGTTGACCTGGTTTATCTTTAATCCTAGGTTTTGAAATAGTACTAGTGTACGTTGGGTCGCACTTTGACAGTCTTCAAAAGAGTTTCCCATTATCAGCCATTCGTCTGATGCCCTCCATCACAAGGATCTCTCTGGGGATGTATGCCAGTTTGGTAAACACTTTTGGCGCAATTGTCAGGCCAAATGGTATCACTGTAAATTGATAACTTACCCCCCTGTACATCCCCCACTGCGAATACTAGAAACTTTCTGTACCTGGGAGCAACAGCCACGTGACAATAGGCATCTTTGAGATCCAAGCATTGGGCGGAAGTAGATGCCTCAGATGGTCGTAAGTGAGCATCTTGAAACTTGTTTTGGTAATTAACTTGTTCAGGATGGAAAGATCTAAAATCCACCTTAATTTGTTGCTGCCTTTCTTGGGGACAGGAAATAGGCGAGACATGAAACAGTTCTCTGACTGCAACAGTTCTATCACAGCCTCTGTTTAGTAGTTGAATTATAAATTCTGTAAGTAAGGGGGTTGGTTTTGACCCCTTTTTGGTAACACTAGGGGAGGGCACCTGTTTTCCCAACCCCCTAGATGACCCAGCTGTCTGGCTTCATTGGGAGGGAGTGGTCGCTGATGTGGTGGAATAAGGTCTCCTTCCACTTCTCAACAAATGGCCACTCTTACTACTTCTTTAATTGTTTCCACCTCTAAAGTTTCCTCCGGGTTGATAACTGAACCTAGCAGCTGGTCCTGTTCCCCTGTTAGACCTTCCTCTTTTAAATTTCCCAAAGGTCTGAGGAATCCGATGAACACTAATATTAATAGCTTGCTCAACAGCTGATCTATATTTAACTAATCATTGTTCATCAAACAAGGCAGCAGAAAGAGGGGAAGAGCGTAGCAATAAATAAGCACTACCACTTGAAGCATTATTAGTGGCTTGCTTCCTTAGCTGGGCTTTTAGTTTTAGGGCTTTCAACAACATTTCCATAAATGAGTTGTACAGGGAATATGGATTCCCTTGTATAGCAGCAGCAAAACATGTGTCTACTTCTGAACTGTCCTCATAGTCCAGCACAAACTTAGTCAATAACTGACACATCATAATAGCAGACCAAATATCCGCTGCCAACTTCCTAATTTTAAATTCTTCAAGCAACAGTGCAGAAGCAACTGGTTTCAAATTTACCTCATAACTTATATCAGCATATTTTGAAGCTGACAAATACTGGGAAAGTTCATACTGTATAAGGAACTCTCTTAGTCATTAAATTGGAACTTCAAAAAACTAAGCTTGTGAGCATTCCTGTCTGCTGGAATGAATGTTAAGTCTTTCAATATATTAGCCCAGACTTCGTCTATTTCAGAGATCATCTTTGGGCAAATATCAGGCCAAGAATGTGTAGTACAGTATCACCTTCTAAAAACAATGAATGATGACCCACAGTTGCTTGGCCTTCCAGTCTCTTTGTAAGTGCTGAGAGATCAGGAAGTTTAGAAACTTTTTCATAAAATACCTTGAATAAGGAATCCACAGACTCAGATGTGGTAGAAAACAAAGAAGACTTAGATCATACTAATGTTACCCAAGGCCTGTTGGGATCATCCTTACTCTCAATGTTATCCATCAGCTGCGTGGCATTCGACAGCAGCCTGTTTCCACTCATAGTAACCAACACTTTTGCCCCAGGTGGAAGAGGTTGCCAAATGGGGACAGGATGAAGTCAGTCTCAACAGGTTCTCCCTGCTCTAGAGACTGAACACTATGATTAGAGCCAACTTCCTCATCCTGATCCTGGAATCCACTAAAATCAGACTGACTAGGTAGAGGTTCTTGTAATCTTCCTACTGCCTCATTATCTAGAATATCCAATAACCTACTTTTCTTACCAGAAGCAGGTTGGCCTAATTGGGGATTAAGTCTCTTATCTATCACCTATAAATCTAAACTTTCCGCCAACTTGGGATCTTTCCATTGTTTTGCATTTAGAAATTTACTCTTCAAGGCTTTGTTCCATCTATTTTTAAGTTGGATCTGCAATAATTCTTTCTTATCTCCTGCAGCTTCATTAATTTAAAAAAGATTGATCTTAACAAACTGCTTAATTCAATGGTGAAAACAGGTTGTCTGAGACACAGCTGCTATGAATTATGCAGGCCAAATGAGGATCTAACTTGGTAATCCAAGTGGCTCTACATCCTTGATAATTTAATGTAGTTTGGTCCCCTTGGGTCCTGGGTGAAACTACTACTGAATTCACATTCTCTATTGATGGACAAGTTCTTGTATATAGTGTATGAGCTGAACTTTCTAGTCCTTGTAGCTCATCACTCAACACTAGTTCCCCAGGGACAGTTCCATGGTCTCCTCCATCATCTAGCAGTCCTTCATCCTCCAGTTGCACATCACTCATCTAAACTAGGAGGAACACAATGAATCACATTGTATCATTATAATAATATATATTGAGGTCAGGGCTGTAGGGCATGTGTGTGTGTCCTCCAGGAGGTCAGAGCTGTAGGGCATGTGTGTGTGTCCTCCTGGAGGTCAGGGCTGTAGGGCATGTGTGTGTGTGTCTCCCAGGAGGTCAGGGCTGTAGGGCATGTGTGTGTGTCCCTCAGGAGGGGGACCCTATGATGTGTAGGAACATAAAGCTTTCCAGCAGTAGGTATAGAAGTACAGTATTACCCCGCCTAACGCGGTTTCACTTAACGCGTTTTATCATATACGCGGTGCCTCGCCAGAGCTGAACTTTCACTTAACGCGGAATTTTTCATCATATACGCGGGAAGCGGCGCGGGCACGATGCGCACAAGGTCGCCCAGTCATCAAAACATTACCGAGTTCTTCACCCGCCACAGCCGGCCCAAGTCAGTGATAGTGATAATTATAGTGAGGATATGGACTTATATGGACTTTGAGGGGTTTGACAAAGAGGCCCTGCAAGCCTCTGTGGTGGATAGTGATACAAGTGATACAGGTGAGGGCCAATAATCTGCCCTCTGCCTCGGAACCAACCCCCCATCCCCGTGTGCCTAGCCATCTTTTCTACTAATGCAAGTGTTAAAAAACCTAATATTATTGATATTTCTCTTAATTATTAATTGTGTGTGCATACCATCATAAAGTTAAGATAAAATTTTTACTACAACATAGTTGTGTGTCGTCAAAAAGTGGAGTTTGGGGGTCGGGCCAGTCTCTATTTCAATTAATCCCATATGTTCTGTTGTTCACTTAACGCGGTTTTCACTTAACGCGGTACCCTGTGGGTTCAATTGACCGCGTTAAGCGGGGTACTACTGTATGTTAAAGCAGAAGAGGTTGCAGCATGAAGAAAATGAGAGGAATTTTTTTTTAAAGAAACAGTTAGAATCAAAGAAAACAGTGTGAAGAAATGGCTCAAAAATCAAGGAAGAGCAGAGAGGCCTTCCAGCAACAAAAACAGAAGCATTTACTCTTCCTGAAGAAAACTAGCTGAAGCAATAAAACTAAGAATAAAACTAAATGCTGGATTTTATTTGTATCTATCATGGAGCATGCTTATTTCTCTTACTTTAATACTACATATGCATGCAAAATGAGTAACAATGTGAGAAATTAAGTTAGATATGGTAAAAAAAACTTCCCGGGTAGGTGTTTCCCCAGACTCCCCAGCTCATTATTCTTTTCCAAGAACCAATCACATTCCTATTGTATTTTATTTCAACAATATCATTTTATGTTACTGAAATGCAGGGTGCATATTTTTCTGTACTGTAGTTCATTATGTATTAAACATGCTCAGCACCGTGAAAATAAACAGTATTATAATAACATGTGCTATAATTATACTGTATGTGAGGTTTATGATTATTAAAACTAATATGATTTAACATTTAAAACACAACATACTAGTAAATATTACTACATAGTACATGTATTTCTTAGTAATATTTCCATATAATTTTTTTAATAAAATGTGGATGTAATAATAAAAAGGTGTATAAAGTTTCTTCCTGTCTTGTGGCTCAAACATCTGAAGATAATCATATTCGGCTCTTAGGTTAAGTAAGTGTGGCCACCCCTGCACTATACAGTATTAAGGTGGTACTATCAGGTTGAGAGGAGTAATTAACTATGAGGCACAAATGATTAAAATGTATTTGTCTATGTACAGTATATAAAGTTTTCCAGACATTAATAACTGCTTGAGTCTCATTCATGTATGATGTACTGTATCCAGGTATGACATGTCCAGTCTGTCAGTTCTGGGGAGTGTCGGGGAGCCCATTAATCCCGAGGCGTGGCTTTGGTACTACCGGGTAGTGGGTGACAGTAACGTCTCGGTCGTTGATACTTTCTGGCAGACAGAGACCGGGGGTCACGTGATCACTCCACTGCCGGGCGCCACCCCTGCCAAGCCAGGTTCTGCCGTAAGTAACCAGTTTTTGCTCTTTTGTCACACTACAGTATTAAGGTAATCTTCAGTCACTTGTATACAGAAGCACCTTTAAAGTTAAAGAATAAGCACAAAATCTATACAAGTTCAACTCTCCAGTCCTGGCTTTATGGAAGCGTCTCAAATTGAGAAGACTTTGGGTGAGGATCAGGTATGATGTGCTATATCTGTAAACCAGAATTAACTCAGTCATATACTAATCCTCCCACTGGTGTTAAACAATAAGCTGCACACATTATTTTTATAGTATGGTTTCTAGTCTATAAGATAAATCTTCTAGTTATTACAATACAGTATGGCACAGTTTTTATATGTTAGTGCATAGTAAATGCTCATAGGATCACAGGTAAGATCTCGCCTTATTCAGTGTTAATTCTTACCTTGTTTGTGTGTGATAACCTTTTGAAGTGTATTTAGTTCTTTTGGTGAAGAAGCAAGTGAACCCTAATTTGTTCTAAGATTTAACCTTAAACATATTCCAAGGCTTCTTCACATTGGTTCACTTTGTCTTACTAGATGAGGCTCTTTTTCCTCACTATACATATTGTACAATTTGTACATACAGGTATTATTGGGTCTACTTTTACCAGTCAGTGTGGCTTGGATGATGTCCTTATATAAAACAACAGAAAATATCTTGCTTGTAGACAATATGTCTGCCCAGTAATTTTAACAATGAAGTTACCTTGGTGTCTGTCAAATCTATGAAGTTGGATTTCTTCACTATAGTGGGTCAAAAACATGTTATGCTTTCAAATCCAAGAAAAATCAGAATTTCATAATACAGTATGTGGCAGAGGTTTAGACATACTCAGTTAGTTCATGTTCATGGCTCTGGTTATATTTGTCTCTGTAAACTAAATAATCTTTAATTTGAATATTTTTGGGCACTTAAATTTTACAGTGTCAGTTCACACGGTTTAATACACTTTGCAACATTTAGAGAAATGAGCTAGATTATGCTTTAGCCTTAAACTATGTATTTTTTTATATACAGTATAATGGTTAAGTGAACTCTCAAGGTATACCTTTCTTATGTACATTACAGTAAAAGGCACCTCACACTCTGCTGCTGACCCCTACTACAGTTTCTCCTGTTTGATCCTCTTGTGTATGGTAGTGAAAGAATCTTTATATGAATGACTGTGACCATCCCTGAATGTGCCGTGTTAATTCACAACCCACTTTGGTTATCTTTTCTGATGGAGGAAGAGGAAGGAGTGGGAGGAGGAGGAGCATACTATAGATCATTTTCCTCCTGAAGTGTGATCAGGACATATTGTCCTGTCCATCCCCCCATGTGTGTGCGTGTGCGTGCGTGTGCATGCGTGCGTGCGTGCTTGTTAATAATAATAATAATAATAATAATAATTAACTGTTTATTGAAAAAGTTCTGAAGGCTGAAAATATACATTGTACAAAAATGACTTATTACATACATAGACATGGGGTGGGCGGGTCGTTTAACAAAAGCTTTCATTACTGAAAGAAGAAGGAACATGAATTGAACATACAAATTATTATAGTTTACAGTTGATGGCCCGGGCCTGGGCTGGTCATGGAGACACCAGGTGGTGAGGTGTTCACGTGGTGTAGTAACTCGTCCTCAGGTGTTGATGTGAAGGACCTCACGTGGTCATGGAAACATTGGGTGGTGTCACAGTGCCTCACTCTGCTCGGTGATGTTGTGTTATCTCGTAGTCAGGTGCATAGCAGGCCCTCTGCTGTTCCCAGGGTGGACTGATTAGCACCTGTGGTCAGAAGACGGCGGTCAGTTCCCAGGGGTGCTTATCCCACTGGTGGGTCACTGCTCTCACTGGTACTGTCTAGTGCTGAACTCACTGGCTTAAACACTGTTCATCACTGATCCCACTTCTTTCTGAAACTAAATTGTCACTTTTGATTATGTAGATATCCCAGTGGTGAGGATGGGTCCGGGAGAGGGAATTCAGGAATGGGCCGACATGGCCAAAGGGGGTCGCCGCTCAGCTGGAGCAGCGCCTGAATAGGTCTTGACCCTACGGTGGTCAAGGGTGTGTGTGTGTGCATGCATGCATGTGCGCGTGTGTGTTTCATTCTCACACAGGGTGGTGAAATGCATCTCGTGTGATAGTATTATGTTAGTGTTAAGGTCCAAGCACTGTGTGCTCCCTCTCGCTTTCAGCTGCTGCCACTGGCTAGCCCTCGTGGTGAACATGGAAGCAACTTGCATAAGTCTTCCCCTGCCAGTACACAGCCTCCTCACCATCAAGACTCCTGCTGTGTCTCCTCATGGCAACACATAAATCCGCCCTTACGGAAATTGGGGTAAATTATACCAATTAGAAAAAAATCACTATATAAAATTAAAATATTTTGTTAAAAATTATAATTTGTTTGGTGTGGATTTCTTGGTGTTTCCTACCGCCAAGCATGGCGGAGGAGTCATTCCATTGTTTACATCCAGTGTGCGCGCATGCTTCTCGCCCCAGCAGTTTGATTTAACTTTTAGAAACATACAGTAAGTACAGTACAGTGCATTACCCTTATTCAAGATGACTGGAAAGGGGCCATCAAGTGGAAGTGACCGCAGGAGTGCAAAAAGAAGCCGCAAAGGCATTACATTGGATAGTAAACTTGATGTGTTAAGAAGGTATATCATAAATTATTTAATGTACTGTATTGTATGTGTTTCATAAAAGTGCTTGAATTAATTTTTGGGCCGAAAAAATGCATCTTCAGTTTTATAATGAAAATCAATGGGAAAATAGGTTTCGCGTTATGGAATTTCGCGATACGGTCAAGGCTGATGAAGGCAATGCTTGATGGACAAACTGTTAAGGTGAAACCCAACACACAGAGCTGTCGACAGCCCATTGTGACTCTCCCTCTCCCCAGTCGTTGCAACACTTGCACTGCTGGATCAGGAAAAGGGAGAGCCAAGATGTGTGGTTGCAGCCTGCACTCCTGCCTCAACACATAAATCAACTCACGTGCAGCCATCATCCAGCTCATCATATTTCTCATCATCAAAACACCTATACCCCCAAAGGTCTTATGGCGATGGACGAGTGGCGACGGGGACAGGCAGAGATAACTGCCGGGAGAGTCTAGTCACATCTCTGCACATGGGTGGCACAGATAAGATAGTCGTTTAAACACTGGGATCTAGGCAACAGTGCAATCCAGTCTTGCCTGTATGACTGAGCAGCCCTTTCAAGGAGCCACTCTGCTCACCCCACAAGGGAAGCGGGCTGGAAAAGGTGCCTTAAACATAGCCTGCCTAAAAAAAACAACCTGCTGGGCAACCACACCCAGTAAGGTCATTCTTATGCGGTCAAAAACACAATCAAAATCACAGATCCAAACAAAAACAAACTATACAACCTCTTATAGTCGCTGCATGGAATGTCAGGACCCTTCTGGATACTGGCATAAATGAGCGTCCTGAAAGAAGAACTGCCCTTGTGGCAAAAGAGCTGGCTAGGTATAACATCGACATAGCAACCATCAGTGAGTCCCGCCTCCCAGACGAGGGCCAACTTACAGAATGGGGGTATGGCTACACCTTCTTCTGGACGGGTAAGCCTGCCGCGGAAAGAACCCGCATTTATGGAGTTGGCTTTGCCATCCGCCAACTCATCCTACACGGGCTAACTGAAATGCCTATTGGGATCAACGAGCTCCTCATAACCCTCCGAGTCCCACTGAATCAATCACGTCATGCCTTTATCATCAGTGCATGCGCCCCAACACTGGATGCAGAGGATGATATCAAGGCGGTCTTTTACACAGACCTCGACAGAGTGCTAACCTCTAACCACAGAGAAGATAAGGTACTGCTCCTTGGTGACTTCAAGGCCAGAGTTGGCAGACATGCTGACATTTGGCACACAATCTCAGTATCACCAACACCTAATTTAGGCAGGCTGACAAGTTCAAGGGTTCATGCCAACACCCACGATCCAAACACTGGCATCTCATTGACTACATCATTATCAGAGAAAGAGATCGCCGACATGTCCTCATCACCCGTGCCATGCGTGGTTCAGACCACTGTGACACTGATCATCGGCTCGTCAGAGCCAAGCTCTCACTTCATGTCGCCCCAAAACGGTGAAGGCAGCAAGCCTCCAGAAGAGGTTTTAACACTATGCATCTGGAGGATCCAGCGGTAGCACATGCTTTCAAAGAGCAACTCGAACATGGGCTGATAAACAACCCAAATCCCAGTGCCGAATGGGATATTCTCGACACTGTCATGACAAAAACCTGCAGAAAGACCCTCGACCAGATCGAAAGAATACACCAGGACTGGTTTGATGAAAATGACCCGGCAATCAATGTACTCGTTGATGATAAACGTGCTGCTTTAACTGACTGGCAGAACAGACCGCAGTCTCGGACCAAAGCTGATACCTTCCACAAGAAGAAAGCGGCGATCCAGCGGGAACTTCGCAATCTAAAGAACGACTGGTTTAAAACTAAAACATTTGACACACAAAAACTTGCAGATCAACACAAAATATGCAAATTCTTCAATTCCACTTCATTTATCAGGGCACGTTAGTGTGCCTTGTATGAGTCATTTATCAGGGCACGTTAGTGTGCCTCGTAAGTCATTTATCAGGGCACGTTAGTGTGCCTCGTATCACTCGTTTATCAGGGCGCGTTAGTGTGCCTCGAATCACTCATTTATCAGGGCACGTTAGTGTGCCTCGTATCACTCATTTATCAGGGCGCGTTAGTGTGCCTCGTAACAGTCATTTATCAGGGCACGTTAGTGTGCCTCGTATCACTCATTTATCAGGGCACGTTAGTGTGCCTCGTATCACTCGTTTATCAGGGCGCGTTAGTGTGCCTCGAATCACTCATTTATCAGGGCACGTTAGTGTGCCTCGTATCACTCATTTATCAGGGCACATTCGTGTGCCTTGTCTTATTGGTTTCATTACAGTAGACCTGGCACTCTGACACTCGTACCCGATATCATTA